ATAGTAATGATAATAACAGAAATAGTAGTAGTAATAATGATAATGATAATAGTAATATAGTAGTAACAATAATGATAATAATGATAATTGTAATATACTAGTAATAATAATGATAATAATGATAATAATGATAATAGTCCCATAAAATAATATATTACCAATATGTTTCATTACTGGTATTGCTAACCATTATCAACAATACTGTCATCATCAATATTGGTATTACTATTATCATTATCATCACCATCTTCATTAGCTTTATCATAAGTAGTACTACTGTCATTATCATCCTTATCTGTGTCGCTCTCTATCACTAATTGTTAATATAATCATAATCATTATTATCCTCTATTGCTAGTATTATCAGAATCTCTCATCATTATTAACAACATTACAAAGCAATTATGACTCACCTGTATAACGTCATTATCATTAATTATCCGCCATATAGGTATAGAGTCATAAATACTATCATGATGTCCAGGAATTTTCACAATAGATAGATTTGTTACTTTATCACTGAATCAATAATATCTACGTTCAGTATTACTATCAGTGTATTGGAGTCCAAATTACCTCTTTAATTTAACCAAAAATGATAAAGCAGAAGTAAAATACTGCCGTGGAGTTTATATATGGATCATTCATCCTTTAATTATAACGTTATGGCTTGAGTTCGTACTACGCTAATCTGAGGGTGTGAATCACTGACACTACTGCACCCTTAAAACGCGCCAGTGTACGGTGAATGGAGGGGAGGACACAAGTTTTCACACTAAAGCCATAACCCAAAATACTGGGATCGCTATTATTAAAAGTGCCTTTGTGTGTATGTGTGGTTTATGTCTTTCTTTTTTGTTCATTATTTCACATTCTCTTTCTCTCTCTCTCTCTCTCTCTCTCTCTCTCTCTCTCTCTCTCTCTCTCTCTCTCTCTCTCTCTCTCTCTCTCTCTCTCTCTCTCTCTCTCTCTCTCACTCTCTTCTCTCTCTCTCCCTCTCTCTCTCTCTCTCTCTCTCTCTCTCTCTCTTCTCTCTCTCTTCTCTCTCTTCTCTCTACTCTCCTCTTCTCTTCTCTCCTCTTCTTTCTCTTTTCTCCCTACTCTTCTCCCTCTCTCTCTCTTCTCTCTCTTCTCTTCTCTCTCTCTCTATCATTTTCATCATCATTCTTATTTCCTCTTTTTTTTTATAATGATGTGCTAATGGAAAGCTAAGCTAATCCCTTTTCATG